CCCCAAAACCCCAAAACCCCAAAACCCCAAAACCCCAGTATAAATTCTTAGAGTTGAAATGTTAATAATAATTAAAGAAAATAATTTTACCTATGCCAATCCAGAGTATGAGAGATATTTTTGCTTCAAAACAATTTAAAAAGGTCATCCACAGAAACTTACAGAGTACGGAGAAGAGACCTCCATTGTCTCCTCTGCCTCCAAAGGCTCATGCTTCCCACATGAAGCATAAGAAGAATGATAAAATCAGCAAATTTCAATATGTATTTGAAAAAGGTAAAGCCAGGCTTACTTAGGGGATGAGGAAAAATTCAGAGCTTCTAGACGAGTTTTAGTCTCCATGCTTCATACCTTAAGGGTTTCGCCAACTTTTCATTGTAACATTATTCTATTTTTTATGAGATAAAGCATCGGGATCGAAGTCAAAATTTTGAAAATTTATATTTTCTATAGATCAAGAAACTCTTCAAAAGATAAAGATGAGTAGCTCAAGGAATAAATAAATGTTCTCACAGAACGGTCAAGTTGGCTCCTACTGTAAAGAGTGAGTTAAAAGCAAGTGCTTTCTCAAGATGCTCAGCAAGTATTTTCAGAAGTATCCAGAAACAAGATCGTTCACTTTCTAATGCACCAGCGAACACTATTCCAATACTATCAAACTTTCAAGATCTGTTTCATATAAGTAAGAAGGTCGATTTTCAGCATATATTTACTTATCATAGATAATTGCCAATTTCAAGTAAAAAGAGAGAACAAAGGGATTAGAAACAAATCGACAATTTTACGAGAAAAGCCAAGCTCTTCACTTCCCGTTGCAAGCTCTCCCCTTCATACTCCAAGTAAATATAAAGAGAGTAAGCTTATTTGAACTAATTCATTTAGATCTGGTAAACCAGTTCTCCACAATTAAGAAATTGAAAAAGAATTTCTTCAATTTCTCTGAAAGCTCAACTGTCACTCCAGAGAGTACGCCTCCCACATTCTCAAAGGGGTCTATGATGTTTTTAAAAAAGTAAGTTTAGAAGTCTGGAGAATGCGTTAATCAAATCAAGTTCTCTAAAATTTCAAATTGTTCGCTTCTGATTTGTTACTATATAACCAGCATCCGAATCGATGAAGAACCTAATAAGGTTTTACGACTACTAGATTATGATGTTAACTATTAATCTAGGTTAAGGGTTGCTAAAAGCAAGAAAGCCCAGCACTCATTCTGAGTAAAGATGAACAAGGCTAAGAAGGCCAATAAAATTATCCAACTGAAAAAGAGGTATGCAATAATTCTTAGTCCAGTAGTCCCATATGGAATGCTCATAAGTTTATCAGAAGTATAGCTGTCATTTTTAGTAGTGACTTCCTCTATTTCGGTAGGATTTCATAGTTGCTTCTGTTGACCAAACATTCTTCATTTCTTGAAAAATTCGAAAGGTATCACATGATCTTGAAACTAGCATAACTTAGTTTTCATAATATCTGGAGTTCCTATTAGTATTAGGGTGACAATCTGATTAAGATTATAAGCTTAGTAGAGCTGTGAGAAGCTGAAGCCTAGATTGCTAGAAGGGGATCCATAAATTTGTCGATGATACTTTGAATTTAGGTTGTCAGGGCATTTAAATTAACTTTGTGATATAGATTAATGTCAGACGAAAATCGCCAAGAATATAATTTTCCAGTTTTAAATTAAAGCTGGTGAATTTCTTTAAATTATATTAAGGTCCTTTCATTCACCAAGTCCACCGTTGGGGTTTTGGGGTTTTGGGGTTTTGGGGTTTTGGGG